AGATTGTAGCTGGGTATAACTTCCATACCATCTGATTCCATTGCAGGAAAGATGGAGCAGGGCAGAAGAGCTTCCTTAAAAAATTGAAGTCTATATCCTTCCATCCCACAAGAGCTCTGCACAGGCAGGTAATCCTGATTCTGGAACTGTGCCCTTAATGCATTTCTAAAGCAGTCCTTTTGTAGCTAGCACATGTATGGTTTCCTACTAAGAGAGTACATGTATAGGCCTATGCACATTTCCCCAGAAAATATGGAAATTGTTCTGGGATACAGAATTCTGCATTTTCATGTGTGCTGTATGTGACTCACCAAATTTCTCAATATTTTTTGTACATTAACCCTATGGTGTTTTTACACAGAATAATCATTGTTGGAATATTTTGTTCAGGTGATAGGGTTTGAGCAGGGGCAGTGAGAAAAAAGCTACCCAGCAGGTATATGGTTGCATGCCCTAAATGTTATTTATTTCTTCTTCCTCTGGCCAGGTTTTTGATCTTTAGCTATGCCACTCAAATGTCTCCAAGTTTGGTAGGTGAGTTCTGAGAGCCCACTGAAGCAATTTAGATGACTGTGGTGAAGGGGTGCCTGACTCCCGAGTCTTGCACAGCTCTGGGCTTCCAGCATGGAGGAAATGCCTCTGAAAGACCATGTGTTTCTGAAATTTAGGTGACTCCAGGTTAAGAAACAATTGAGCAGACTTTTGCACAGAATATAGTTTGGGATTTAGCTCACAAATTTTACATGAGCCTATGTCTGACTTTGGAATGCCCACATATGGAGAAAAAGAAAATGAAATGCTGGCTTCGCCAGCAGCTGCTGTATACTCAATACTTTTGATCAGACCTTTTTTACTAAGGCTCCTGAACATGGATTTATGAGCCAAGCTCTGAAAATCTTGGCTGAAGTTCTTAAAAGGAATTCATCTCTCTTATACTACCCACCATGAGGCCCCAAAACTGCCAAATTCTTTAAGAAAGAGTGAACAGCTGTGCCACACTAAGTCATGGGTATACTAGGCTTGGCACCCTCCAGCAGTGGAAAATAGTGGATGCTTGGGGTAAAGTGTAAGAATAGGACAAGCACAGAATATTTATCTAGGATCCACTCCAGGTGATTCAGGGATTCCCTGTACCAGAAGCTATATATTTGTATTTAATTGCTGAGACTATTTATTTTTTTCCGTGAACTTGTCCAAACATTTGAATACATGTCATTTCTATCCCCACTGCATCCTGCAGCAAGTCGCTCCAAGGTTTCACTGTGCTCCACATGAAGAAGCATATCTTCCTGTGCTTCTTGGAACTTGCTGTTTGCTGGGATCTTTAGAAAGAAACATTGGTTTTTAATTATTTATCTTTTCTTTGCAATTCAGGATTTCAAAGGCTTTTTTATTATATGTCATTTTTGACAAGATATCATTGAAACTCAACAGGAGCATGAGCATGCTATTCATGCATGGGCATGCATTTCAAGCTAGAATTTAACAGTAAACTTGTCTGTAGATTTATAGTCATGTTCTAGAACCTCTTCTGTTCCTATATAAACTCTTCAAACATAATTGAATCCAGGGTAGACATAAAATTATTCAAGGAAGCAAAAAGTCGTCTTCCGTTCCTATTGGCAGAAGAGTTGACTGAGGTTGCTGCAGGAATCATGAAAAATCCCCTTTGATTATTTTTGAGAGCTGAAAATGCCAGAGTTGAGAATTACATGAGGTTCTTGAGCAGAGGTGCACGTGTGTGATTATGTGCTTGTGTTCCACACTGACACACAAAACTGCCAAGACCATCTGTGCTGGAGAAAGGTGGTGAGTTAAAGTCTAGGCAACACAGAGTGAACCTCAGTGCCCTGGCTTAAAGATGCTGTTGGCTACCATGGAAACCAATTGGAACTACTCTGTGAGGGACATGTTATCTGTGGGAACAAAACAGGAGTGCCTATTTCTCAATATCACAATTACTTACAATTAATCTCGCATATTAGGATTGTCTTGAGTTATTTGCATAAAGCATTATTCACTTTGCTACAAGTCCTATGTGAGTGGGGGCAGCCTGACCTTAGCAAGAGTTCAAGGGTTTGACAGTCAACTTGAGAACCTGTTTTATGATGCATAATTTTAACAGCATTTTGGGTATGGCTCTTCAGTGCAGCTTTCATTTCAGCCTTTAAAACCTAAACTCTTTGCAGATGGCAGTGTGCATAGAGGAGAAGTGGTGCAAAAGTCTGTTATAAGCTGTCACAGCAAACTAAATCTGGCTGTAGTCACACAAGTAGCAGTTAAATTATCCCGCAACATTAGCAGTAGCTTTTAAGTGAAAACATGATCATGGGTGATGTTTGAGGGCTAATGGAGACAAAAATTTGTATTTCAAGTCATGGCAGACTCTGTGAAGAGGAATCTGGTGGGGGGTGGGGGTTGTCTCCATGTCTCTGTATACAAAACACTAAATTAGGGAACCTTTTAAACATGTCAATTTTACAGTATTGTGACTTGACAGGCATCAGCAGAGGCATCCCTGACTTACACAGGCCTAAAAAAACAACAGATCTCGGCCTGTGCATCACACAAATGCTCAGTAACTTATGTATATTTATACTCAGATATAATAAATGACATTGGATAAGCATTTACCACATCACAACATAAAATAATTGTATGCACACACTTGTCATTCATGTTGGTTAAAGGTTGAACCCTGCTGAATTTGCCTCTCATCTGACCTATATAAACATAGAGCATCTGTGAGGTGAGCTGCATTTTAGAAAGTGAGTCGGGACCCAGGATGATGCAGCAAAATTTGAGGGGCTTTTTGATGTTCCACATCTTTGATCACTATAGATTTTTAATGCAGTTACTGTACAATACTGGTAAGAAGTACAGCTAAAGAAAATGCGTCAATAAAGACTCCAGGGCTTTTTGGGTATGTAAGGTTATCCAGTCTGTTTACAGATCACAGTCTGCTAGGATGAAACAAAATCAAACCAAACCCTTGCCCTGAAGATATAATTGGCAGCATTAAGAATCTTACAATACACCAGGGACAGTAGTTGCATCTCTACTTCACCACATATTATTGTTGAAAATATTATTCAGCTGTTTATTTATCTAGAATTAGCAGATTAGGGAGTAGTGTTTTAGTGGATACCAAACATCTGTGATAGCAGTTTCAGAGTAATAGGCTGAAACAGACACTGTATCATCACTTTGGGGAAGAACTTAAGCAAATACAGTTTCTTATTTTTCCTTTCTTTTCCAGGTCAGCTTTGCTAACAGCTATCTGGGCTCAGACCCCAGCTCTTGAATCTCACATTTTGTTAAGTACTCACTTTGCCACTAGTCATTCAGAAACAGCCTTGTGTAAGGTATTAAAGAACGAGTAAGCCAAATCAGCATTTCAAGACTCTCATATGGCTTTCATATAGCTGGGCAGAGTGTGTCTTTTCACAATTGCAAACCTTTCTTCAAGTTGGATGTTAACACTTTCAGAGTAACTTTTAATGCCAAAACAACGTCCTTCCCTTTCAGTTCAAAGAAAACACAACATCTGTCATAATGTGAAATGCAGATTTAATGCAAGTGTCAAGTCAGGCACTTGGTAATGAGGTAAAAACCCTTGAGATTTTAAGTCTCTCTTCCACGCTATCCTATTACAGGGAGGGGAAAGGAAAGAACTGTTTCTTTGGCACTTCGCAGCTTTTCTGTGTCCCTTATCTATCCTTCCCGGACATCTTCTGCAAATTAGTGGATTTTTCCTGGCAGCGTCCCCGAGAGAGTGGAAGGTGTGATAATGTTTGCTTTGCGGCAGAGGGAAACTGAGGTACAGACTAGCCGCAGTCCATGCTTGCCGCGGCACTGCCCGGAGCCCCCAGCCCCGACTCGGGCGGTGACGGCTCCCCAGGGGAAGGGCAGCGCTCCCCAAACCGCGGCCGCATCCCGCAGGACGCTGCGGAGCGGTGGCGGAAGGGGGTGGGAAGCGGGGAAGCAACAGGCTGGTGGCAGCCGGGGCCGGGGGCGGCAGCCGGGCCGGGGGCCGGAGCGGGGCCGGAGCTGTCCCAGCAGCGCGGAGCGGCCGCTGCAGCCGCCGAGGGCGGGCGGGCAGCGAGCGGTGCTGGGGCACCGAGCCGCACCGGGGAGCCCGCCCTGGGGAGCCCGCACCGGGGAGCCCGCACGGGGAGCCCGCCCTGGGGAGCCCGCACCGGGGAGCCCGCACCGGGGAGCGGGGGCGGCCAGCCCGCCTCCAGGGAAGCACAGGCTCGAGGGAAAGACTCGCAGATGTCTGAGTGCGGGCTCCCGGCTCTTTGCTCTTCGGATATCCCCTCTTCTCCCCGCCTCGCCCCCCACCCCGGTTTCCCTCTAGCCTCTCTACGCCGTTCTCCCAGGAAGGCTGGAAGCAGCCACGGGGTAAGCGCGGCACGGTAAGGAGTTGGGATTTTGGGATGCAGATGTCACATCGCCCTGCAAACGACTCCCGCAGTAGCATTTTATTAGGATTTCAAACTGCATCATTTATCTCTTTTAGAAAAGCGTCTCTCGGAGGAGATTGCCCTCAATAGACCCGCCACAAAAACATTTTAGCGTTGCTCTTGTGCTTCTGTGCATCGCACTGCGAAGGGGTCCCAGTGGTCCCTTGGAAATACAAGGAGTTGTGAGAAGTTACACAACTGGCCACCAGACTAATCCACTCCCTCTACCTTCCCGCGAGTACCTCCCCCTTCTGCTCTTTTTTTCAATAGCAGCGCTTTCTCAAAATCTCAGGTTACTTTGCTAAAGAGTTCTCAGCCTTATAGTTTCTGCCCTTGTCTCTGCCTCCAGCTCCTTAAGAGCCACCCAACCCCAGCGATTGGATTGGGCAGCCCGTCTTGACACACCACTGTGCTGAGTGCTTGAGGACGTGTTTCAACAGATGGTTGGGGTTAGTGTGTGTCATCACACTCGAGTGGGGATTAGGGGAGAGAGGCAGCCTTGCTGGAGCTGTGTGGTCTTCCCCAAGTGTGAGCTGCAAGCAAAAGAAGAAATACCTAGCTCTGGGGGAGAAGCGGGAAGAATCGTTTCCAGCAGCTCAGAGGGAAAAATAAAACCGCACACTTTGTTCAGGTAAAGTAAAAAGGCACCTCATGCCTCTCTCCTCTCTCTCTCTCTCTCTCTCTCTCTCTGCTTTTTTTTTTTCCTTCACGGTTTTCAGAGGAATGCTAGCGCAGCACACTTGTCAAAGCCAGTTGCTGCTGCCTTATCAATGCTGCTATTGTACGGCTGACAGATAACAGCGAGCACAGCCTGATGCTTGGCTGTCTTCATAGAGCTAACACTCTTAACGCCGCTAAGGTCACGCTTTCGGAGGTGTAGATTGGAAAATCTCCCCGGGAGCGGTGAATCCCGGCGCTGCGGGAGCCTGCCCTGCTCCCCCCGCAGGCAGCGCTCTCCGCCGGGCGCACACGTGTGTGTGAGTGTGTGTGTGTGTGTGTGTGTGTGTGTCTGTGTGTCTGTGTGTGTGTGTCTGTGTGTGTCTGTGTGTCTGTGTGTGTGTGTGTGTGTGTGCGTGTGCCCGCCCGGGGCGGCGGGGCCGGGCACGCTGGGTGCTGGCTCCGAGGGTGCCACCGCGGGTGCGGGGTCTGCGGTGCCGCCGTGGGCGCCGTGTCCGCATCTGCGAACGCCTCCGAGCTCCGGCAGAGCCGTGGAACTGCGCGCTCGGGCGGGAGAGGGCACCGCGGCAGAGGATTTCCTAGGCTTTGAGCAGGATGCTGCAGCCTGTCTCTGGGGCTCAGCTGGGAGGCAAACCAGAATGTTTTGAAAGTGCCTTGGAGATGTCTGTAAAGTTTGAAGACTCCATTATAGGGACCTGCCTGGGTTCCTGACAATCGGCGTCGAGATGGTTTGGCTACCACATGGGCGTAAAGTTTAGAGAAAATCAGGAAAGTAGGGAAAGGCAGGGTACAATGTAATGCTGCTCTTGCAGCTGCAGCAGAGCAGATGGATGTAATTCATTTGCAGATCTGTTTGTGAAAGTTTTACAAGTCATTGAAAACTAAGTAGCATCACTATAATGGATCATTAAAGACTCGCTATATTTATAGATTCTAAACTAGCAATCTGAAGTGTTAATTAGACGTAGGCAAAAATTTATGTTTAGGAAGGAATGGGAGCAGAAATATAATTAGAAATTAGTTATGGAAGTACTCTGCTATCATTTTCATTTAATTCCACTATTAAGTTCATTGATGTCTGGAGCGTGGGAAGCCCAGCAAATTAACTAAATCAGAAATGTTATCACTAATTACAGTATGTTAGTTTATCAGAAAAGATGTTTTCATTGTTTTATTCTAAATTATCTAGATGGAGAAATTAGAGGATGGATTATTTTTCCTTTTATTTGGTTTGGAGTTGTTTTCTTTAAAATTTGCTGTATATATATGCTGTTTTCCTGTGCAGAGTAACAATATTATTTGCTTCTTTTGCACCTTAACAGTTCTTCACAGTAACTGTCACATACCTCTGGTGCTTATGAATTGTTGGCCTCCTACTTGTGAAAGAAATCTAACACTGTCCTCACCACTTACAGGTGAGATATTCTATATATAATACTGTATCTAATGTGTTCTGAAATAAGATCTGTTTAGTAGGCTGAGCAAGGGGATTTATAGCTGGTGCTTTGTGATTTTGGTATTCAACAGTGTAACGATGCCCATAAACCCATGTTTCATGTTGCACATATATTTTTGCCTCAAACCAACTTTTTTGTTAACTTTTTTCCTTGAACAGACTATTTGGCCTCTTTACAGGTTGTTCTCAGCTTGTATTTTCAAACACACTCTTTAGTGCGAATGTGTCCTCAGAAGTCATCCACAGCAATTTGAAACAGAGAATTAGCTAAATCCCAAAAATTACTGGACAACCAGACCAAGATTTATGTGAATAAATTTGACCATTTTGGCTTTTTCTCTCAGTCTACACTTTCTCATTGTAAAAAGTGATGGAAACTTTTACAAGCTTCAAATGAAAAACAAAACCAAGGGAAAACCTCATTATAGCTCCACGTACAAGTCTTGTATATTGGATTTCTCCTCTTTCTCCCAGTGTGTCCTGTGAGAAGCTCAATATGCCAGCTTCAGCACACAGAGGTTCAGACTTCAGCAAAGCTGAGGTGCAGCACTGTGAGCTGCAGAGCCTGATGCTGTCACTGCCTAGCTGAAACCTATCCCTCTTTGTGGGTATCACAGATCAGATGATCTACAAGAAACCATGTTTTTTAAAGAAAGTGCATAGCTAATTACACATGCCCAACTTGTTATTGTTTTACTAGGGGGAAAAAAAACAAACTAGTTTCTCTAGCACTGCCAGAAAATCTTGCTGAGAAACTAGGAACAGCAAATCATGTTTTTCCTTCCTTCATAATGATGGGGCTGTTTAAAAGACAATGCCCACAGGGCAGTCCAGCTTCTTGTCAAAACGTAATCTACTGTTCCAGATGGTAAACATTCAAAGACATATTTATGGTGACTTCTACATACCTTCCTTTGACATTGGCTTTTTTTTTCCTGAGAGCACTTGTGCTGGGTACACACATGAAGTTCCCATTAGCATCCCAGCAGCTGTAAAAGTGTTCAGAGCTCACAAAGATGTTCCTCACAGTGAGATAAAAATAATCTTAGGAAAAGATCTGAGACAGTACAAGTTCCATGATACGCTCAAGGTAAAAAATTCCAGAGGTACAAAAAAAAAATCCATAAACTGCTGCATGAAAGCTGTAACACATTTTTGTTGCGGCTAATTCATCTTCGCTTGATATGGAATGCTGAACATACCAGGCATGTCTGTACTATCAACTCTGTTTGTGATGTGAGGCAACCTGCTCTGCACAAAAGGTGGTGTGTTTCTTTTTCCCCCAGCTAGTGAAAATTAGGTGGGATACTTATTGTCTTCATAGAGTGCTCAAAGTGTCACCCTGTTTTGTTTTTTCTCTCACTGCTCTAAGCAGTTAGGTAGAGCACAAGAAAATGTTTTCCAGCCAGAATGTGTTCTGCCCTGAATTGTCTTAATTATGTGTCAGTTTATTGCTTGTCAGGGGCTTCCTCTTCTTAGCACTTTATAATTGAGGTGGGTGAGCTCATTGCGTCACAATATGCAACTTCAGTTTCTGCTTCTTGGCATGTCTCCTTGGCCTTTCATTGATTTTTGTCTCTGTTTCAGAGGAAAAAAATAATTATGATTGGTGTAATTTGCATTGAAAAAAAACCCTTGGTGAGTTTCCAAATGGCATGTAAATGCACCTTCAAAAAGTAGGCTAAATTAGATGTTGTTAGGAAAAAAATTGCATGTAGAAATCCAGAAGTATCCTAGAGATTGCAAGTAACAGTGTGAAAATTATTGTAACCACTCTTATTCCAGCCAGGAACTGATAAAAACAGTTTATTTAAAATGTTGTGATGCTGGGGACAGTGCTCTTAAATGTGCAAGCCATTATAAAAACCACACTCAGTGGATGTTAGACAGCTAAGGAAAAAATATTTTAAAACATTTGCAAATTCTGTTCTGGCTAGAAATACTTTATTGCTGACTATTTTGACAGTTTGCAGGGTTTTTATCTAGCTTTGTTTAACTTATATCCTGCACTTGATAATACATATATTTATACATATATATATATGACCAAATGCTCATGCAGGATCAGGAGTTTGAGCCTTGTGTAATATCAGGGCCCATTCTCACACTGATGAGGCAGGACACTTGTTGCAGATGTCATGGGAGTCATGGGTTCCATGATTTCCTTGGCTTTAGAAAGAGCTTTGGGGGATTTGTGTTTGAGTGGGAAGGCAGACTGATGTGATAACAATTGAGAAAGCTCCTTTCTGAGCCCCTTAAGAGCTGCAGTGTTCAACAGAGAACGAGGGTCCCGTGACAACTCTGCGGTGACATAGAAAGAATCCAATTAGTGGCCACTCCTGCTGTTGATACTGGATCTCTCCTAAAACATTTCCACCATTACCGCCCCCATTGTAATCCCATCCATGACACTGATAATGGGATCAAGAGTGTCTTTTCAGAATGCCTGTTTAAATTTTAACTGCCATCTTTGGAGATTTTGAGGATATTAAATCAGAAGGCACTGATTAACACAGCTCTCAAGAGAGCTTTGTGGCACCCAGAAGGCACAGTCATCTTCCTCATACTACACTTTCCCAATGCCTCCATCACAGGTAGAGCTACATTAAGTGGGCTGCAGGTGAAGTGGGGGGACTGAATGTACATGGTGAATAATCCATTGAGGTGTGGCTGGCCCTGCACTCCAGTTACCTGCAGACGTCACCCCTGAGCAGTCACATGTGCAGAAAGCAGTGACTCCCTGAGCAGTCACATGTGCAGAAAGCAGCAGAGGAAGGGAGTGGGAGGGGGTACAGTCCCCTGTGCTGTGCCCTAGTAGTGGCAGCCAGTCACCCTGCTTCTCCCTTTAGCAAGCCTTCAGTCATCACTCTGCTTTCCCAGCTGGATCAGCAGTGTAATATTCTGTCCTGCCCGCCTCAGATCTCTTTCTCTTTCACTTTTCTTGCTCCAACATTAATTCATCATTTCCATATGATCAGAGTGCAGTAATTCCATTGTTATTCTTACCAAGAGGGGCAAGTTCAATGCTGTCATGTGCTTGGAGAGGAAGCTGTAAAGTGGAAAGGCTCAAGGTTCTAAGCAGTGTCACCTCAGAATGCAGCACAGTAATTATTAAATTAATTACCAAACAAGACTCTCTTTAGCTGAATTATTTTAGCACATTTCAGTTATGTCAGTAGACTGCTTTTGAGGGCCCCTGCAAGATCTTTGTTTAGCATTGCTTATTCATACTCAAAAGTTGTTAACTGGTGAGAGTAATTCCATTTTAATTTCATGTGTCCTAAGAATTTTATTTTCTGAGGAAACTAATGCTTGTTTCATCTTATGGTTTATGCACACAGCAGATTTAGTGTCAATGATTTTCCCAGAACTTTAGTTCCCACTTTGAGAATCTGCTGGAAAGGTTGGTAAGCTTTTGTTACTGTGTGTGCTCTATTAATTGTGGAGCTCTGAACCTTCCCAGTCATAACCACCACCGGTGGTTTGGTTACACTGAAACATTTTTTTGTAATAGTTGACCTTTACACTCAAAATTTTATCAGTATTTCCCTTTTCTTATAATTATTTCTTTCATAGCAAAAATTAACTTACAATTAAATATAAACTTGCATTATAGTATTTATATCTGCAAATTTGGTAGTATTGCTGGAATATATACTGCAATATTTCTAGATGTGGTACTGTGCTGTAGAATTCCAGGCTGTAGATCAGTGCTAGATTATCCACAGAATACTTCATGGAGTTTCTATATAGAAGCAAAAGACTAGAAAGTCAGTGCTGCTGTATTAAAAAAAAATCCTATCCTGGTTTGAATATAATCGTGGCACTGCATGCTGCCATTTCTCTGTGATGTGAATCTAACCCATCTTAGCAAGGAGAGGAGCTGCTTGACAGCAGCTGTATTTTTGTGGTGCTTCACAGGAGGTGAACTCTGTTTGGAAAGCCCACAGAGAAGATGGGGAAGCTTTTGGCACTAGGATTCTGGAGAATAAATGTAACAGGGAGCTGAACACAGGGGATTGTTTTTCTCAAAAGCATCTATTAAAACTGAATAGTGGTCTGTTCCAGTATTGTAATTGCAATGTGCCAAGATGTTCGTTATTCTACCATGTGCACTGTTTTGTCTGTTTTCACTTAAAAACAGAAAAATGTGTTGCCAAGCCTGTAAATGTCTGCAAAACTGCCAACTCTCCTGACTTTTATCAGTAGTCTGAAGATATTTAGCCTTCTTTGTAAAGCTTCAAGTGTAAGAGTCAAGATATAACGTAAGAAGTTCAGATCTCTGGTTTCTGGTTTTTTAAGCCTAATCCTCCTGGTTGCTGAGACAGCTGGCTTGCATGCAGCTCCAGAAACATGAAGGAAACTAAAAGAAAGCCCAAATCTGCCTATGTAAATGCATGCAGGCTGTGTGAACGAGGTGGGTTTGTGCATGTCGTTCCTGGCAATTAAACAACCCAACTTTTTTTCCTGAGGTTTACTGTAATCAGCTCCCCCTGAAATTTCTGATCGGTCGTCTGATAACTCCCATTTTGTTAAAGAGGTTTTATTGCAACAGAGGGTGAGGTTTCTTGTCTCCTCTCAGATAGCAGAATAGCTTGCTGCCCTGGAGAAACCCATCCTTGATCTTCCCATCCTCTGCCTGCAGCAGTGTGTTCCCATCTCCTTCCTTGTGCCAGGTTTGGCTCTTGGCTCACCTCCTGGAGTGCTGCATGGACTCATCAGGGCAGTGGAAGCTCTGTTGGCTGCCTGCCTACTGAGCTGGTTCATCTCAGCAAGTGGACAGAGGGTCCACATGGAACAATGAAAGTGGTTGGAGCTGCTGGCTTGGGATGAGGAGGGGAAACATGGCCAACCCTTTAGGGGGCTGTGAGCTGTAAGATATTCCACTACCTGGTGACACCTTCTCAACCCACACACTGGGGCCCTGTGTGTGTCCACAGGAGAAGTGTGATAACAGAT